CCACGTATTCATTGGGATAACAGATATATTTTAATTATATTTCTTGGTTTCCAAAGTCAAATCAATCCACGTACAGTCTAATATAATTATTTCTAACTAATAATTATATCTACACATATCCTTAAATATTTATGCATATTTGTAGTTCTTTAGATATATTTCTAGTAACTTCTACATCTATATATTTGTTTTTCCAAAGAAATATCCTTTATTTTTACAATGCCTTATTAAGTTCCCGTAGAGTAAATTATTGAAATTGAAAATGTTTGCATATTTTTACGTTTCAAACGTTTCTGAGCATGTGTGAGTGTGAATACTACTTTTCATCGACGTTTTCGAGAGCACCGCTCAACCGATTTGAATGATTCAAAAAGCATTCAATTCGTAATGATGAGAAGTTGTTCTGTTTAGATTTCCAGACAAATTTCTCAGTGATTTAAGCATTTTCACAGTGTTTACATCATTTTCTTATTGTTTACAGATTTTCACAGAAATCTCAGATAACTTACAATATTTTCACAGTTTTACCACATTTTCAGACAATAAATATCTTTTTCACTCTGCCTACAACATTTTAAAAAAATATTCAACATTTTCAGACGACTCACAATGTTTTTACACTGTTTACAACATTTTCAGACAAATTACAACATTTTCACACTGATTATAACATTTACAGACAACTTACAACATTTTCACACTATTTACAGTATAATTTTCAGTATAATTTGCAACATTTTCATATAACTTACAACTTTTTCACACTGTTTACAACATTTTCATATAACTTACAACATTTTCACACTGTTTACAACATTTTCATATAACTTACAACATTTTCACACTGTTTACAACATTTTCATATAACTTACAACATTTTCACACTATTTACAAAATTTTCAGAAAGCTAGCAACATTTTGACACTATTTACAAAATTTTCAGTATAATTTGCAAAATTTTCATACTGTATACAACATTTTCAGACAGCTTACAATATTTTCAAAGTGTTTACAACATTTTCACACTGTATGCAACATTTTTAGAAAATTCACAACATTTTCATACATTATGCATTATTTCCACCTTTCCACATTTCCAAAAAAACGTTTTTAAACAATCTATATTTTGCAACCACATTTTCAGACAATTTACAATGTTTTAAGACAACTTGTAAAATTTTCAGATAATCCAACAATTTTCAGGACAATTGATGAATCTACAATACTATTACTTTTACAATTATACTATTACAATTATTAGATTTTCGCAAAGGCAGACCCAGGATAAAAGTGTAAAAAATGGCAATTTTTGAGAGATTCGACCCGATTCAAATGATTCAAAAAACATTTAAAAAATTTCGAATATTTCATTACGGTTCAGGAAGTTCCAGCAGTTTGCCTTAAGGCACGATGCCATACTGGTTTATATAAATTTATTTGTCATCATACAAAGTAGCCATTAACTTATCTGTTCTTGATATGTTTTTTATTATTATTATTATAATATTTTGTTATAGAAAATTAAAGTATTTAAGACAATGTTATGTGTATATTATAACTATTTAACAATTCCTCGAGTCCAACATAAAAAATTATTTATTTAAGTATGTTTATTTAAAAATAAGTGATTAATTTTGAAATAGAACAGACCGCGATGCACTTATTGAGTAACACAAAATCTATATAGTTTAAATATAGACAAAATATATGCACATAGGCATTTATAAATTTAGATCTGGTTTTAAAACCACATGCCGATTGAAGCGTGGACTATCAAACAGAAAAAGCACATGCGCCATATTTTACACACATACCAGAAATATAAATAAAAAATAAATTGAAATAAAAAAATCATTCATATTAAATAGTCGACCTTTAACTTCGTTGGGACTTTTAGGAGCAGCCTCTAATCAGTAGAATGAATGGAACTGAACTTCTCCAACGCAAATACAATTATCTTACACAAATAACGATATTCGATATATTTTTATCGATAAAAGCAAAGAGAATTTGTATGACCTCCATTGTTTGCAAGAAGTCCATTTGTCCAATACGATTTATTTAATAGTTATCTCGGAAACGCAACCCGATATGTGGTTCATACACATACGAGTGCGTCCTTGATGATTTCTACATGGAATCTTTTAGCATTCTCCAAGATTTACTAATATCAAATGTCAAATGCACAATTGTTAATAAAAATCTGCGTAGGTTGATGAAATCTTAGACAAAATATCGTATTTGTGCCTTAGAATTGAATAACTTGTACTAACACAAAATGTGGTACCACATTAAGGTACAAGTGAATATAATCAAACATAATAAAAAATTAAAGAGAATTAAAATCTTTTTTTTTTAAGTACATTTTTAACATTTTTTATTACATTATTTTCTTGTTCATATGTATACTTGTATGGAATGCAATGTGTACCATTAAATTCCTGTCTTTTCACATCTGGGCCATTAGGTCAAAACAGGTCACAGTATAGTTCCTAGTGTTATTCTTTCGTTCTCGACGATATGTTTTATATGTTGAAACGGATAACTGACTCACCAGTACTAACTGTGTATATATAAGGTGTATCCCAGAACTCAACGGAAAAAAAAATCTACATCACTAGTATAAATTCTGACTACTATATCGTATATATTTTTTCATTACATGACCTATTGGCACAATATCAAAAATCAGCCTCTCTTGTATTACAATGATTAAATAATCATATTCAAGACAGGCCTACGTTAATTAAGTCTGTGCGATTTTAATTCATACATGACGTAACGTGTAACTAATGTATTATTACAGCGAATGATATTGGACAATGATTTATTATTGCGACATGAGTCATTTTTTAACAAAGGACACTCCTGTCATAGGTAATAATAATATATCCGAAGTTTATGATGTGACAAATTTAAAAGTTGAGGCATGAGTTTTCATTATCTATATATATTGATAGACACTCCTTTTCTAGGTAATAGTCCTGTCATTTAAGCTTAAATTAGGTAAGAATCTCGGAATTCGAGATACCCAGCTGTAAGTCTATAAATATTACTATTTTGCACCCTAAAAGTTGTCCCAAAACCTGCATATGGTAGGGTGTACGCAACATATGTAGGTTTTGAGACAACTTTTAGGGTGCAAAATACAAGTATTTACAGACTTACAGCTGGGTATCTCGAATTCTGAGGTGAACTTACTATAATGACTGTACTATAAAGAATATATGAAAGTGAAATAGTGAATTTTCTATTGAATGAAATTGTAACAAGATTGTATAGAATTATACTTCAAAAGTCTTTTACAAAAATATAGTAGTTTTTACTGTACAATTTTAAGCTAGCATATACATTAATGCAAAAGTACAGGAATGAATGAATCCCAAGTTAATATTTTTTCCTACTTATTTGTCGAATCAATTAATTCTACTAAGTAAACATAAATATATAATTTCAATTTCATTTTTGCATTATTATATTTATTATGTCCTTAATTGATTAGACTAAAGACATGGGCTCTAGAAAAGCTCCACAAAAATCTGCAGATATTTTTTTTTTTACCAATATGACCTAAAACTGAAATTTTTATTGAAAATATTTAACCATCGTTCAATCAATATTTATTCTAAATATTTAATAATTTCTGAATGCCACACTGTAGGAATGTTTTACTTGATTTTCTGTTTATTCTTATAAAACACAACATTGTTTCATTTACAAAATATTTGTATGCGACACATCTAGATTATTCTGGTTAATAAGTCATTTTAATCGTAAATTCGATCTGAAAATTGAAATTTGTTTCCAAAATAAATGTAAATATTATTTAGTTATGCCCAACAACATATTAACTCTTTTCATTCGCGAATTGCGAAATTAATATGAATTTTGTCGCCGGCATCTGAGTGGAAAGGGTTAATACAAAAAATAAACAAAGGAAAGTTAAATTAAATAGTCATATAAAAAATTGTGTTTTCCAGGAATTTTGCATTTTTATTTTCTTTGATACATTTTTAACAAAATTATCTAATAAAGTTACCATGGATCGTGTGATTTTTTCTGATATTATCATGGCGATGAACGATTTTTATAGTATTTATTTTAAAATCTTTTAAAAAGTGCAATTGAAAATATTATGTATGTGGTTATATTTATCAGGCCAAATGAAAAAAAAAACAAAATCCCTTATCAAAGTAAATGAAATTACTCACGGCAATCGAACAATGAACTCGATTGTGTTTGCTTTTATCTTATATGCATAATATTTATGAATATATATATATATATATATATATATATATTATATTAATTCAGAAATATGTACAAACAACACTCTTTTTGCATTGATTTATTAAATAATATTATTTTACAAACGTTTAGACTAGGTTTGTCTCATCATCAGTAATTATAATTTAAAATTTAAAATATAAATATTTAAAATAGCATTATGTGTTAACTCTTACAGCTTGTTGTTTTTTACTAAGAAAATTTGCTATTTTAAATAAACATATTTTAAATTTTATATTATAATACACCGATGATAAGATAAACCTAGTCTCGAAACGTTTGTGAAATTAATATTATTTAATAAATTAGTGCAAAAAAGTGCTTTTTGTACATATTTCTAATTTAATATTTAACCACTAAGAATACATTTGTTTTATGTTATATTATTTATGATATGAGAACAATCACTACATTAAGCCAGTGCTTTTACATGCGATATTATGCGAAGAGAATGAGATATTATACGAAGAACAAAAATAGATTTCTAAATCTGCCATCATAACTCGTGGACAAACGCCCATATTATGCTTTATTATATATAAAGATGGCACACTGGGCCATATTATAAACCAGATCATGATTTATTATTAGGTACTGCATTGCAACTTGTTAGTCTTGAAATAAATATGTCGGAGATTTAACTTTGTGTCAGAGATTTAACTTTGTATCGAAATTTAATTTTTCTTCTAATTTTTTTTATTTTTTTTTTTCAGGCGGACCGCTAGAAATGGCCGCTGCCGAGGGTTCGGTCTGTTTCAGCGGTCACACTTTGGACAAGGCCACCAAGGCTAAGGTTACCCTAGAGAATTACTACTCCAATCTGATAGCACAGTATGGGGAGAGGCAACAAAGGTGAGATTATGAGAAATATTTTCATTTGAATTAAAGGCGAATTTAAATTAACGTCGATCGACTTGTCAGTCAGATGTATCTGAAATACGCAATTTGGTAGAATGTCACGTCAATCACAATTGTCTGATGCATTCGACATATTTGCAGTATGTTTCGAAAGCTTGGCACAAAACCTGATTTTTTTTTCGATTTTTTTCTGTCCTGATATAGTGGCGATTAACTTGTTAAAGTAACGTTAACTAAGTGTTCGTTTGTCAAACTTCAACCTCTATCCTAATAGGTAATATTTTTTTTATATATAAGTAGCTGTACGCGTTCACGCTTTGCCGTGTTTTACTTTCAAATAAATTAAATTTGAAAAAAAAAATGCATTTTTTTATATCTAGTCTACCAGTTTTCTTGTCTTCCAGTCTATATGACTATCTATCCACCTCTCTACTTGTCTACCATTTCACCTGTCAACCTGTTTTTCAGTCAACCAATTTACCAGTTCACTAATTTACCTGCAACCATACCTGTCCACCAATATACCTATTAAACTGTTTATCAGTCTACCAATTTAGCTGTCTACTAATTTACCTATTCAACAATTTAACTGTTCATTAATTTACCTGTCAACCAATTTGTTCACGATTTCACATATCTTCCAATTTATCTGTCCACCCGTTTATTTATCTACCAATTTACCAGTCTACCTGTTCATCTGTCTACGCCTGTATTTATCTTCCTGTTTAACTATTTATCTGTTTACCTTGTCTTTCAGTCTGCTAATCTACCAATTACCAATTAATTAAAAAAGATGTAATTACTATAATAATTCTTACAAAATAGAGGTTTGTGGTAGGAAGTTAAAAATTTAGGGTTAAAAATATGTGTTTTTTATTAACGCATCATAAGAACATGTGACTGAAAAAATAAAAAAATCTTCGGGCGGCCAACTTCTACCACTTGGCTTCAATCAAAATATCCAAAAATCTGTTCGGGGATTCACCTAATATTTTTTTCGGGGATTCACCCAAATTTTTACGACGATTGGACGTATAGTTTATGAATGCATTGCAATTACACAGACAGACAGACATACATTCATTTTTATTCACATAGAAGATTACATATAATTTATAATTTACAAATTTATTTCGTGTAATTACAATTTGCCTGGAAAGGTATTCAGTATCTTGGTTACTAATATGTGGCGATAAAATTTTAAAAAGCTACTGAGTGGCAGTCATTTTAAATTTGAAAATTGAAGATACAAAAAAATCTATATTACACATTCACTTGATAAATCTAGTTGATTTGCTTTTTGATTTGATTGATTTTCTTGAGATGTTTGAAGAAACCTGACATTTAGCAAGTTGATTTGGATGATTTTCTAGCTCCACTCTTTCAGTATTGTATTTAGATAAAAGAGTTCTTTATTTTTTTGTCTTGGCGGATAAGTCAATTTAGGACATAATTAATTGTCTCAAAAATTTGTTTAAAAAGTTTATTTTGTGACCTTCTCAATGTTTGTAATTACATTCGTCGTAAAGGTAAGATATGGGGAGAGTTGTTTTTTTTATTGGAAATGATTTCTTAATTTGAACATGATTTACACATTTCTTACTTGAGAAATACTACTAATATGTTTTTATACTAATTTATTTGCTATTATTAGTTGTTGAAATATCATAAATTAATATTGATTTAATATTTTCAAAAGTACTTGCAAACTCAAAGTATTTTGGCAAATATTGTGGAATCATTCGATATACAATGACGTCAATCTTTCAGTGATCGAGTCGATAAATGATAAATCAATAAAGTGATATGTATATATATATATATATATATATATCTTATCTAAATATGCGCTAAATTAATATTTAATATGCTCTTCAAATTGATATCTACAAGCCGATATTCTTGATGGTCTAATGTTAATGCCTGATGCAACTTTTCATGGGAATTTGCAGCCAATAGTGGAAGTAAAAATTAATAGATAATTAAGTAGATATGATGATATATCTTGTACTAATTTTGCATTTTTTTAAAAACTTGTAAAATATTTTTTTGAATTTGTTAAACGTGCTGAATAATGATACACATCGTACATAATAAATATTTAATTATTTATTGATTATTATTTATACTATTTGGCTGCAAATAAACATTTGAAGAATTTTCTTCGACGTCGAAAAAAATCTAAATTTACATATATCAGCATTCAACTATATCAACTCTTATCAATTTTTTATTTTTTAAAGGCTACTTGACAATTGTTCGAATATTGCTTAAATTCAGGTTTAAAATTCCAGAATCCTAGTTTTATTAATATGAGGCTAGTAAAAAGTAACAATATTATTGTTTTATATTCATTATACAAAGTAAAATATAAGTGCAATTTCAGTTCTGCTATTTTTTGTTATTATCAATATTATACATATTATTCTAATTGTAAGAGGTGCTTGAAATATCTTGAGTTTGAAAAATTATTGTTAGATAATTATTGATTAAATGATAACTACTGTTTTTTGATACATATATGCTTCAATATCGAATATACTTAAGGGCCATCCAATAATCACGTGGGAGAGTAAGATATCTTGTGTATTTATTTTTTAATTAAACTTTTCTAAAACTTCCAAAAATCCTTAAAAATAGATCACGTTATTGACTCCTTATATTTTTTAGAATAAAAAATATGTACAAAAAATGTATTATATCATATTATTTATTCTGCATATATGTTTTGTTTTATTAATTATCAATTATCTTGTTTCAGGTTGGCAAAATTAGAAGAATCTTTGAAAGATGAAGGATTATCCGAGTCCCAGAAACAGGAGAAAAGGCAGCAACATGCACAGAAGGAAACCGAATTCTTAAGGCTAAAACGTTCAAGGCTAGGCGTCGAAGATTTTGAACCACTCAAAGTAAAATTATAATTTTTCATAAATTTATTTAATACCTATATTAGTTTTATTCGATAATTTTACAATTTTTATTTCCTCAGGTTATAGGCAGAGGTGCATTCGGCGAAGTGCGCCTTGTTCAGAAAAAGGACACTGGACATGTCTACGCCATGAAAATCTTAAGAAAAGCCGATATGCTCGAAAAGGAGCAGGTTGCCCATGTCCGAGCAGAAAGGGATATGTTAGTAGAAGCAGACCATCAATGGGTCGTTAAAATGTATTATAGTTTTCAGGTAAAAACTTAAAAAATAAACTACTAATAAATTTAGTATGTTATCAATCTACGATACCATTAAGGGGCACAACTAGTGTGAAATTTTCAAAAAATCGAATTTTCAATTTTTCCATATTTCAAAAGGTTACACCTTTAAAAATAACATACCAAAATTTTAAATCGATATCTTGAATAGTTTTTGAGTCACAGCCATTTAAAGAGTGTATATATAGTATATAGTATAACGATTATTTTATCTTTAAACGCGTTTTTCTCGAAACAGCATTTTCCAAATTTGCTGCAGTGACCACTCAAAAACAAATGATCCGAACACTATCAATTTTTTTACATGTTCTATATATAGTTCTCCGTAAAATGAAATATCGATTTTCTGATCGGATCAAAAATCGAATTTTGGCAGTCCAAAAACGACCAAAATTTTGGGTAAACTTCAACTTTTTTTTAAAACGCCGCCATTTTGCAAATTTTTGATTTTTTTATTTATCGTAGGTCATTTTACAGACAATATTATCTAGTTTAACGAGTTTTTTTTTTTTTTTTATTTCATCCACGTAGAAGGCCGGAATCGCTGCAGCAGTGAAGGGCCTTTTTTTCGCGCCGTTGGATGTCGACGATAACTTAAAAAATGTTTAATTTTTTTCTTTAAAGATTTTACTATGTATTCTTAAAACATGTGTAAATATATTCTTAAAATTTTGAAATTATTGATAAAGCTTTTTTTAATATAAATTTCCAAAAATCACCTTTTTTAAGCGGTTACACTAGTTGTACCGCCAATGCAATAGATTCACATTTTATAGTGTGTACCTTATATGCTAAAGACCAATAAAAAATATATAGTATTTTAGAGTTCATAAACACTAAATAAAGAGAACAAAACAAAATATTCAATACTAAATAAAATTAACTAATATAAAACACTTGATAAAAACTATAAAACACTATTTATAACTGTCATTTGAGGATAATATTTTTGGCTTTATTTTTTATAATGCTCATAGACAGAGGAAAAATATCAATCTCAGAAGCAAATTAGTTTATTGTTTTTGTTATTCTAAACATTTGATTATTTTATTATTTTTCAGGATCCCATAAATTTATATTTAATAATGGAATTTCTCCCCGGTGGTGATATGATGACGCTATTGATGAAAAAGGACACTCTATCAGAAGAATGTACACAATTTTATATAGCCGAAACAGCATTAGCCATTGATTCGATACACAAATTGGTAAACTATGATTTAAGAAAAATATTTTATAATACAAGTGGTATTTGATGTATTTTTTAATTTTTTTTTTGTTTTCAGGGTTTCATACATCGTGATATCAAGCCAGATAATTTACTGTTAGATGCCAGAGGGCATTTGAAATTATCAGATTTTGGTTTATGTACAGGATTGAAAAAATCACATAGGACAGATTTCTACAGAGACCTTAGTCAAGCGAAACCTTCAGATTTCTGTAAATATTATAAAAGATAATTAAAATATATTCATACATTTACACCCAGTTGAATCCCTATCGTTGGATTTACTACATAAACTACATAAACAATATTAAATTTTTCAATATTCTATTGAACTTTTGCAATAAAATTTGCAATTGTAGGTTTTATTGAAGAATTCTTATTTGAGCGAAGGTGGCAATTTTAATAGAGAAATTTCAAAACAAATCCAAATATATGTGTAGTGATATCCCATATACGAGTTTAACTCTTTCCACTGGCAAATTCTGGGATTTATATGAATTTTCCGGCATCCGAGTGGAAAGGGTTAATTCATATATCAACTTCCGTAGGGTTAGTTATAGTAATGGGCCAAAAATCAAAAATGATTTTTTTGCATATCTTCACGTTTCAGAGTTTTCTGAACATTTTGGCATACCTCAGAAAAAATGGATGTGTGTGTGTGTGTGGAGACAAATTTTTCGTCGACGATTTCGGGCGTATGGATGAACCGATTTGAATGGTTCAAAAAACATTCGATACCTATTGATAGGGAGAAATGGTAATTAGCTTTTGGTAAAGGCAGGTCCAGCCGTTTCGGAGATACGGAGCAAAGTGTGCAGAAAATATAAATCGAGTTTTTGAGAGAACGGAGCATCCGATTTGAATGATCCAAAAAACATTCAATTTGTAATGATTGGGAGAAGTGGTGTTTAATTTTTGGCAAAGGCAGGTCCAGCCGTTTTGGAGATACCGAGCTTATTTTTTTTATCTGAAGTTCTAAAGCTCAATTATGTACATCTAATAAATTATTTTAACGTTGCACTTCAGTTTATATAATTCTTATAAATATTATACAATGTTCTTCATTTTTTATTCGATTGATTAAGTTTTGTTTATTTACTTTTCTGTAAACATATATAAGTTACAGTATTTATAATAATCTATTTGAAAACATTTTATATTTCTTAAATTATTCATCACGGTACGGCAAGTTCCAGCAATTTGCCTTAAGGCATGATGCCATACACCACTATTTAATTTATTATCTCGAAGCAATTTTCCACATATAAAAACATTGAAAAAACAATAATTTCTCTTTATAATTTATATTTAACGAAAATACTAATTTATAAAATACCTCTTCAATAAAGCTATAATAATAGCAGGCACATTTAATAATTAAAATTTAAAAATGGAATGAAACATCAAGAGTTACTTCGTATTAAATGCTATTTGAGTTTTCAGGAATAATCGGAGTTGTAGAACAAGCTGACGAAACTTTTGTCTTGACATTTTCATAGGCTAAGCCCATTTTTTCTTCTAGCGATTTGAAAGATTTACAGTTCCTCATCTGACCAAGTTTGAAAGTCAAACCGTCAGTTATTCCTCCTAACAAAGATGTAGTTTTTTCAGCAGTAGATTTCAGCACCGATTCTGTTTTCTGGTAAATAGACGCACTAGTCACAGCTTTACTTATTTGTCCTATACAATTTTCAATATTGCCGAAGACTTGACTGTCTTTTACTGTACGTAGACTCTGATTGACTTCTTCAGTAAGTTCTTTCCAAACTGATATACCTAAATTAGCCTTGAGTTCTCCACTTCTTTGAAGTTTACATGCTAAAACAGATCGTAGAGTACCGATTTCGTCTTCCAGTATTGCAAGTTCTTGGGTCCATTCAGCCCTTTTCAATTCGGCTTCTTCTGGGCTTAGTCCTTCAAGTTCACTTGAAGTCCTAAAAACTGAACCCATTTGTGTCTCTGGTCCTCTACCTGAATGTTGCATTTTTGTACTACATGATGCACCTTCGGCCATTTCATATCACAAAAAAATTGCTCCGAAAATTGAGCCCACGTAATAAATAATAATCAGGAAAATTATAAAATTATTATGTAACATACAAAATTCACATATTTTACTTGTCAAGTATTTTGTTTCAAGATTTAGTCAATCTAGAAAATATTGGAATTTGTTACAGGACTGTGATTACCTTATTGTTAAGTTTTGTAAATATTAAAAATAAATTCACTATTTATTAATTATTAGATATGTAATTCTAACCATCCTCATATTTTTCAATAATTTTACGCTTTAATTCAAGAGACTTGGCGCTTTTTTGTGTCCTTGGTTATGAAAATAAACTCGTGGTGTATGGCATCGTGCCTTCAGGCAAATAGCTGGAACTTCCCGTACCTTAATGTTCGAGGAATATTAAATGTTTTCAAATAGATTATTATAAATACTGTAACTTATATATGTTTGCGCAAAAGTAAATAAACAAAACTTTCATCAATCGGATTTAAAATAACGGACATTGTATAATATTTATAAGAATTATATAAACTGAATTGTAAAGTTAAAATTATTTATTTCAAGTATATAAGTGAGCTTTAGAACTTTAGCCAGAATTAAAATTAAAATCTGAATTATTTTGGATGTTCGAAAACAATGATTTTTGGAAATTGAAAAAAAAATCTTAGCTCAAAAGCAATTTTTTGTCAACACAAGCAGAAAGTTTTTTGAATCATTCAAATCGAATGCTTAGTTCTCTTAAAAACTGCAATTTTTTGCACACTTAACTCTGTATCTCATAAACGGCTGGAGTTACCTTTGCTAAAAACTAATCACCTCTTCTCCCAATCATTACAAATTAAATGTTTTTTAAATCATTCAAATCGGATGTTCCGTTTTCTCAAACTCTGCACTTTTTTCTCCGTATCTCCCAAACGGCTGGACCTGCCTTTGCCAAAAACTAATCAGCACATCTCCCTATCAATAGGAATCGAATGTTTTTTGAACCATTCAAATCGGTTGATCCGTATGCCCAAAGACGTGGACAAAAAATTGTGTCCATATATACATACATACACATACACATACATACACACACATCCATTTTTCTCTAAGATGTGCCGAAATGTTCAGAAACCTTCAAAACGTGAAGAAATGCAAAAAAGTTCAATTTCAGTTTTTGGATGATTACGATTACTTACCCTACGGAAAGTTAATAATATTATGTAAATGTACAAAAAGCAAAAAAAGCGTATAGTTGAATTTACACAATTTATATTAACATATAATTAAAATTGCTATAAAATAATTTAGGGGGCGTCCAATAAACACTTGAGCGAGTTTTTAAGGATTATTGGATCTCCGCCCTACCAAATATCACGTGTATTTTTGGTTACGTGATAAAACTGTAAAATTTTTTATTGTTTTTTGCAAATTTTTGATTTTTTTAAATAATCTGTTAAAAAATAAATACTCGTAATATCTTATTATACCCCTCCACGTAATATTTCGTGATTTTTTGTCAAACCTTTCTCTCCTAAAAAACCTCTTGTGATTAATGGACGCCCACTACTGCCATAAAACAGCCAAAATATTTCTGATTGGAAAATCATTGTTACAACTGATGAAAGTATTAATATTTTCATTTTGCCATTAACATTTTGCTAGAAAGCTCTTACTCAAAGCTCGATTCGTGCTTTGGCAGCTCGTATCTAGGAACACTCGTATGTCGGGGCACAACTGTAATATTTATTTCCATTAAAGTTATTTCTATTACAATTTTTTATTCCAGTGGCGCCTTCATCGAGCCCCCTGGATTCAAAGAGGCGAGCAGAGAGCTGGAAGAAGAACCGGAGGGCACTCGCCTACAGTACAGTTGGCACACCTGACTACATCGCCCCGGAAGTGTTCTTGCAAACAGGATACGGAAGGGCGTGCGACTGGTGGTCGTTGGGTGTCATCATGTACGAAATGTTAATCGGATACCCGCCGTTCTGCAGTGAAAACCCACAGGAAACATATAGAAAGGTTAGAGGAAAATATAAGGGACAGAGTTAGGCAAAGACAAATATTGGAAGTAACATAGAGTTTAACACGTTAATTCCTTTGTTAGTCATATGTGTTTGACGCTAAGACTTTATGTGTGGGACATGTCAGATATATATGTCTGACAAACACGATTTGATAGGAGGCCACGAAGAAGTTTTAATATGGAGCTAAGACAGTCATATATGTGTGACATGAAAGTAGCGCTTGTCCAGGAATTTTGGCAAAATAAATATTTTTGATACTAAGTTTTTTGATACATTCTTAACTAAATTATTTAAGTATGTCACCATGGCTTATATGAGTTTTTTCTCATAATAATAACTTTTAATAAGATGTCAAAACTATGTATTTACTATTCGGAATCTAAGATAGAAATGCCACATTTCTTCTTGAAGCAGTTAAGAACAGCAACGTAGTATATCCGATTAATTGCTTTAATTGTGATCTTTTTTATAACAGATAAACAAGTCAGAACCTGAGTAAACGCCTTTATCTATATAAAAATAACTCAAAAAATACCAAACATTTCAAGACCATGTTAACTGAGCATATAAATAATTTAAATCATAATATAGATTTTTTCGACGCAAAAATTTAACATTTTGAAGAGAACGTAATTAAAAGATGATTCGCTGAGGGGTTGTTTTTGCAATTGCATAACGACAGGGTCATAAACAAACGATTTGACAACACGGCCCTGAACGAATCAAACACGTGGTTCCTAAATAGCTTATCAAAATTTCTTAAACAAAGATTCCATTGCTTTTTGAGTTAGGAACTTATCTAGACCACCCTAATATATAAAGCGAGTGCTGCTAATATATAGGTAATTCATTTTTACCATTGAGTATTATTAGTTCAAAAATTTCAAAAAGTATTTAAGTGCTGTGTCGTTGAAACAACATATAATATTTTTTATGGTAAAGTTAAATTAATAAATTATTTTTTTTCTTTCTAGGTCATGAATTGGAGAGAAACTCTAATATTCCCTCCTGAAGTACCAATATCTGAAGAAGCCAGGGAAACAATTGTTAAATTTTGCTGCGAAGCTGATAGACGGTGAATTATAAATTCTTTTAGTTTTTATAACACTCATAGTCATTTTTTTTATAAAAATAATAAGCAATATTAATTTAAATAATTATATGAAAATGTTGAGAAAAAGTAAATAATAATAGGTACACATTTTAACTTCTTTATCTCATAACCAAAAGAAGTTTCTTATTACCAGAAAATCTTAATTGTTTGAAATCAACATTGAAAAATGTATGTGTGGATTTAATGTACACCCTAAAATATTACAAGCTTGTAAAAAGTGGTTTAATTGAGAGATATCAATTTTGACAAATTATGAAGATTTAATCATTATTTTATAAGTTTTTAGATCTTGATTCTTATTATCAAACCGGTTATTGTCACTTACACCTAGATTCATATTTTGCTTTGAATGTTTTTTTTGGTGTCAAATATAATTGTTCATATTACATATTAAATATGATAATCAATATTACCAAAACAATTCAATTTTATACAGATATTTTGTTAAACAACAAAGTCCACATAGAGGTTTTGTCTTTATTATATAAATATATGAATTTTAAGTTCATATTTGTTTATGAAATAATATATGAATATCTATTTATAATTTTAATCTAAAATATGTATCAACTTCTAATTCTTTTGAATAATTCTTTTCCCCCAGATTGGGTTCTAACAGAGGCCTAGACGAATTGAAATGTTCCTCTTTCTTTGCTGGAGTCGATTGGGAGCACACACGAGAAAGACCTGCTGCAATTCCAGTTGAAGTTAGATCCATAGATGATACCTCCAATTTCGATGACTTCCCTGATGTCAAACTAGAAATTCGTGAGTTATATATAAAATACTTGCTAATTGTATTTTTTGGTCTTTAATTTTGTGATCTAAAACAATTTTGCTACTGACCAGAAGTGCTCCTGACTATTTTCAACAAACTATTAGCAAGAACTAGTGCTTCTTGCAAAACTTCAGGAACAATTGCACACCAATATATTATTACTATATACTTAATTTTTTTTTTCATCCAGCATCAGCACCAATGCCTCAAGACGGTGAAGTGATTTACAAGGATTGGGTCTTCATAAATTATACCTTTAAGCGATTCGAGGGTCTGACACAAAGGGGCACGCCCACGAAGAAATAGCACGAACTGTTCGCTCAGAACAATGACTACTTCGATCTGTGAATGAAGAAAATCGTTGGTTGAAAACAGTGGAAAAGGATATATTTTACATATTTGATTTTGGGTTCGATAGCAAATTTTTTTGAAGCCACATAAGTAATCATATAAGATGTAAGTAACTGATTATTTTTTTATTTTTTATTTTTATTCAAATTATGCGAACCAACAGCACCACATAACGAATTTCAATCAAACTGCCTTTCTTCTATCACCTGATGTCAGATATTAGGCTTAAGTCCAACAATAGTAAATAAATGCTAAACGTATATTATTTTTTGTCTGAGACAACGGTTTTACATCTATTAAAGTAAGGAAAGTAATACAAATTGAGAGTAAAAAATATTGTACAGTTTCATCATCTGATTTGTATTTTTTAGAAATATATTTATTGTATTTGTTATTAATTTTTTGTGTCTTTGTGGTCGGTGATTTGTTATATAGGATTTTAGTAATTAATAGAATATTTTTTTGAATAAGTTTCTTGAAATTGGTTACGAATGGGTATGTGAAACATGTTAAATGGCACTTTAAACCATAAATGGTAGAATATTTTGCTCGTTATTTAATAGTTGCACAGACAAATTAGGTTTATGGATTTTCTATGCAGGGTAACTTATGGGGCAATTATTCGATAACAGAGTATTGTCATGGGAACGCTATCTTATGCTTGTTACTTGTAAGTGAAACTGTGAAAATGTCAATCTATTTGCTGTGCGATCAGGCGTATTTTACATATAAACAAGCAATGGAAAATGTTATGACAACTTCGAATCATCGAAGATTATGTTATCATAACATTCTTCCTTGCTTGATATGTGAAATACGCCTGATCGTGCGGCAAATAGAAAGACATTCTCATAATTTTCAATACCAAGAACAAGAATAAGAGAGCGTTGTCATGACAAAGTAATTTTATGAGCTCTGTTACAGCAGAATTGCCCCATTAGAACAGATTTTTTTCACACAGAACAATAATAGCGTATAAAGTAAAAATAAAAAAGCTGCAAATTCAGCCCTACTTGGTCCAAAGTTTGAAATCATAATCTTTTGATAATCAAGATGGATTCAATTCGGAGCAATTTTTGTTGTTTCCAAATGATTTAATTTTTGATTGCTTTTCTTGTTTTTATATTTTTTTTAAGTCCAAGATGGTCCAAGTTTTTTTACTTTGTATAAATTTGTTTAACTAACTTAGAAGAGCAATTTTTTTTTATATCGATGATAGGTAAAAAAATCATTCTTTTATTTATTTTTTCATTATTATTATTTTTTTTTTTTAATTTTTTTCGTTTTTATTTCTTTTTTTTTCTTTTTGTTTTCCTTATGTTTATTTTTTGTTTTCATTTTTATTTTTTTTATTTCTTTTTTTTTATTTTTTTGTTTTTGTTTTATTCTTATTTTTTTATTTTTTTTTATTTTTATTTTTTTTTATTTTTAATTTTTGCTTTATCTTTTTCTTTTTTTTAATTTTTTTTTTATAAGATATATATTTTTTTATAAGATTTTTTTATAAGTATGGTCGATGGCAATTTCAAAGTTTTGGATATTACACCACTTTGTATTATTTTTCTGTGTGAAAAACGTTGACATTCAGTTTTTGTAAAACTACTTGGAATTCATGATCTAGAAGTAAAATTTTCGTCAAAATTCTGGTTCCAGTCGAAAATTAGTCCTTAATTTCGACTAAAATTTTTCTCATTTTACAAATTTTGTTTGTCCTCAAGTTGCCTGCATAGTAAAATTTATCGCAAGGCATTAATTATTTTTTAATTAATTATTTTATCATTAATTTTTGGAGTATAGATCTACTTTTAGGATATGAAATGAAATTATTGAAATGTTATTTCGGGAATTGTGTAATTCTAAATAAACAATGTTGAAGTGTTTTCAATGCATATTAAGAAACAATGATATATAAAAAAACAAATTCTTATTTTTACTACAATTATTTTACGAAAATTTGTTTAGGATTAAATAAAGAGCTGTGGTACAAATTTGTTTGCATTTTATTATTTGAAATAATAAAATTATAGAGCTTTCTCGTAATAAAATAGATATAATAATGGAATCTTTAAGTATATAAAAATTTCACTTTAAGATCAAATATAAGAAGGATAGTTTTAAATAAAATCAATTAGTTGCTCTCATTAAGGGTATCTTGATAATTCAAAGGAAAAAAATAATTTAGTCATTTAGATATGGAAAAAATAAAAATACCTAAAACAACGATTTCTAATTTGTGTATCTTCATTAAAATAATTAAGAGGCCAATTCTGCGATTAAATAGAAATGTTACGGGTCTACATTCGTATGAACTGTTAAAAAGCTATTTTGTAGTTCGTATGGTCAACTTACACATAAAACCTAACTTCACATGTGTTATCAATGCACATCAGAAAGTTGCACTTATGATAAAATTGTTATTTGATGCTTGTGCGTTTTGGAGGTTACGTTTTATGTGTAGAACGTCTGATTGCACAGCAAATACATAGCGAAGATAATCCTATAACTGGCCCCTAAGTCTCAATTCAAAATAACTTTTGTTTATTATAAATTTTATTACATGAAAGCTATATAAATCTATTACTAACTCCTTTATCAAATTATTATTGGTATCACAGTTTCCAATATAATATTCTACTGGAGCGATTCACGAAAATTATTAGAAGCATTAGATATAAAATTTATATACAATGAATTTTTAACGTTGTTTTTGTGAAATTTTGGTTTGTTCAACAAAAACAACAACAAAGTTTCAATGAAATAACGTTTGGTAAATAATGTTAACATGACAATATTAAATTGCAACAAAATATATTTCATAGTGATTTAAATTCGTTTTAAAAGTGTTTCGTGGTGGGAACGTCTGCACACTAAAATAAATAAATTAATAATAATTTTTTGTGATTTATTACAAAATTTATTAACATTATAAATATTTATTAGTGTGTAGGCGGATGATTTTAAAAGGTATATTTTACACATTAGTAATGCGCTCGAAGGTATCACCAATATTCATATTTTTCATTTATTTATTTTCTTATAATAGGTTTTACTAGGTGTATATACCAGTTTTCATTAGATTTTAGTAAATTTTATCTAGTTTTTACTGATGTAAACAAAATTTAATGTCCGGTATAAAAATTTAAATCTATTTGAAATAAAGTGAAAAAATGTTCTAAATCCATATATTGCAAATGAAAATATTAAAGTCCACAATTCAACTACGAATTTTTCAAAATTTTATTATCCAACTGTATTCAACAGTTTTTACTGGATTTCAGTAAATTTTATCTAGTTTTTACTGATGTAAACAAATTGATATGTACCAAATGAAAATGAAATGTTTTTTTGAAGAAAAGTATTCAAAAATCATATATTGCAAGTTATGGAAATACTATAGTCCGCATTTCAACAACGAACTTTTCAAAATTTCAATATCCAACTGTATTAAACAGTTTTTACTAATGTAAACAAAATTTAATGTCCGGTATAAAAATTTGAAGGTATTTGAAAAAAAGTAAAAAAATGTTCTAAATCCATATATGTATTACAAATCGAAATACTAAAGTTCGCATTTCAACTACGAATTTTTCAAAATTTTAATATCCAACTGTATTAAACAGTTTTTACTAGATTTTAGTAAATTTTATCTAATTTTTATTAATGTGCACATATTAACTGTCCAATATGAAAATTTTAGCTGGTTTTAAAAATAGTAAAAAAATGTCCTAAATTTTCACATATTGCAAATTAGGAAAATTCTTAAATAACTGCGAATTATTCAAAATTTCAATATCCAAGTGTATATAACAGATTTTACTGGATTTTAGTAAATGTTTTAATAGTGTTGTAAATAATTGATAATATCCGGAATAAAAATTTCAAGTCGTTTTGAAAAATGTAAAAAAATGCCCTAAATACTAAACTACTAAGTTATTTTTTTAATTTTAAATATTTGAAGAATTTTTTTTTTTGCTAGTAATAATTTTATGGTGATATTTTTTTCTACTGATGTGTAAAATAGTACCTTTTGCGCAAGGGCCTGAAAATTTGCATTACAAAATGATAAAAATTATATGCTCAATTGTGTGATGATTGAAATAGTCGAAGCTCAGGAAAGATAGTTTCAAGATATAAATTTATTTTTAAAAATTGACATAATTATTATTAAATTTCCTATGATTTAGAACGTGTTCAGGCTCTGGTAAAAAATTGGAAATGAATTTAAAAAAAATTAGGCACAGTCAACAAACAGATTATTTTACCACATTGTAACTGTGTTTACAACGTGGTGTAATATTCGAACTTTTATAATGAATATAGAATTTATTAGACGACTTTAAATAATACAAATTAACATAATTCATCGAATCACACACGCATAAATTCATAAATTAAAAAAAATGTCCATGTTTTCACACAATAAAAATTAAAGTATATATTTTGGCACTTCGAAGTAATTTTAAGATACTAAGTGGTTAGTAAGATTTTTTGCGAAAAATCTTACTTGTCTTGAGAAATGTTCATTGTTAAATAAATTAAATGCTTTGACTGTTTTTGGTTTAAACTATTTTGATTTGATAATTTTTTTTTTTTTTTAAATGCGGCAATGTGATAATATTCTCTATATACATACTAATAACATTTGTACTGTGGACTTATAACTCTGGACAAAATATTTATCTCCTGAAAAAAAATAATTTTATTGCTTTTTTTATAATAAGTAAAAAATGGCCTTTTTGTGGTGAAAAAGAATCTTTTTTAATAAAGTCCAGTGATATTTGTCTGTGGTTTTCAATGTCTGACTGTGTTGCATTAGGATACAGTAGAAATTCCCTACATAATTCCAAATTTCTGATAATTTACATCATAAATATATTTATCAATTTTTATATATTTCTGGTGCTTCGCACACATACACTCACACACACACACACACATCTATTAGATATTAATTTAGAAATACGAACAAACAGCACTCCTTTTAATACTTTTTTTTAAATAATATTAATTTTACAAACGTTTCGGGACTAGGATTATCTCATCATCAGTATTATAATTTAAAACCTAAAATATGAAATCTAAAATAGCACTATGTGTAAACAATTCTAACTTGTAGGCGACTGAAACCTCTGTACAAGGTCAACTTGGTGACTCATGAAATATCAAATAGGAATGAGAAGGAATAGGGCCCAGTTGAAAAATAGATGTCGCCAAATTATATTTTTTGATAGGTAACGGTTTGTTTAAAAAAAATTGCAAATCGTTGTAAGTGTGCTACATTCATATTTTAGATTTTAGATTGTAATACACTGATGATGAGACAAACCTAGTCTCGAAACGTTTGTAAAATTAATGTTATTTAGTAAATT